TTTCTGACTTGTTATAATGTTTTCTGAATTGTTGTTGTGCTTTCTGAATTGTTATTTAGTTTTTTAGACTTGCATTTGTAATTTGTTATTTTGTTTTCAGAATTGTGATTTGTTTAGTACTTCTCGGCCACCGTACATTGTCCTTTCAGTTTAAGACATCATCCCATTGTCACGAGCCGGGCTAGAACTCTGGTCTCCAGTGTGGTAGTTGAGAGATCTACCACTAAGCCACAGGAGTGGTAATATTGGACTCCAACAAGGAAAACAAGGAAATGTAGATTTATTAAAAAAAATAAAAGTCTTTGCAAGAAAAATACAACAAAAGTTCTTCTCGGACTGAGGTCTTAACTACAGCAAAAACAATGGAAAAACCACATGAGAAAATAAAAACTCCACGAGGGGAGAAAACAAAACCAGAGAACAATTACAACCAAAGAAAGGAACTCAGGATAACTTACTTGGGGCAGCTAGGGAGGCTTTAGCGAGACCAGGCAGGAAACACAGGGAAAAGACTCAAAAACCGAGTGAGGAACCAAGGGGAAAATACACAACTTAAATACACTGGGGAAACAAGGCACAGGTGACCTGGATAACTAACTAGGCAGAGAACTAAGGCAGAGGAGAACCAGGGGACCTCTAGAGGCACGGAGACAAACTACAGGAGGTAGGATGCTGACACCTGTCAGCTGATTTCATCAGAATACTCTTATTTGGAATAAGCTGAATGAATAACACCTTAAAAAACAGCTTGCTTAATTGTTCTCTTTTTGTATTTTTTCAAACAAAATCATTATATAAAATCAACTTGGTAAAAGTGTGTGTACACCCCTTTTATACATATATATTATATATAATACGTTTATGACTATATAACTATTTATAAACTATTCCATTCCTGTGAACATAACGTGACATTCTAGAAACATTGTTGCAACGGTTTGGGGAAGGTTCTTCTCTGTTCAAGCTTGACAATAGGCCTTAAAAAAATACATCAGCCACTAGTAGTTCCGCTACAGGTCTGTGCCTATTATATTAGTATGCTCTTTTCTTAAATAACGCATCTTACTTTTTCTGTTTTGTCTCTTTTCCAAGTTGTTGTTAGATAATTGACAAGGAAATAACAATTTAATTTTTTGTGGCCTCAGACCTCTGACTCATTGAAATAATATGCAAAAAATTACCACCAAATGGTTTCAAGATCTCACGGAAGCTGGAGAATACAAACCACCTGTTGGTACATTTCAGCATATAATGCTATTTACTCATTCAGCCATTTCCCTCGAATCACCACATCACAATAAATTATTTAAAAAAGGACTTGCATTTATTACCAGTACAGATGCACATTTTTCCAAGAATAAATTAAACAATTCTAAATGAGTCCCGCTCATTCAGCTCAATGCAATAACAACGTAATTCCGATTAAAAATATAAAAATTCAGATTAGAATAAAGCCATGAACCTAAATTCCAGTTCCAGAAATATAAGTGTCAAGGGTCTGATGATTTTCCCAGCACATTGAGAAAAGTTTTTACATGGAGAGATAATGCACATCTAGCACAAAACAGACAGAATGGCAAAGCTAACTGAATTAAAAGCACCATCATTTAGAAAAGCTGGAGAGAAAAAAAAAAAAAAGCTGTGCCTGGCCAAAAGTACTATTCAGATTCATCGTGTGCTGATTATTTCATGTACTAATTCAGACTTTATGGAAGATCATATATGAAAACATTATAATGTTAGTCATACAATTAAGGAATTCATTAAGATGGGAATCATATCTGATGCTACAGGGGCTATGCTGAGCATTCCATGATTAAACTACAAGCAATACTTAAAAAACTGATAAATTTATAAAATCTGATAATTTGCTTCATAATTTTTACATTATGTGGGGATAAACACAGACATGTTCGATTCGGATGGGATTAAAATCATGTCAAATGCATCTTTCTAACATGAATTTTCCTAACCTCCTCAGGAATTAGTCCTCCAAACAGGTCTAAGACACCCAGGGAATTATGGGGCGCAGTCAGAGAAAATGAAATTTTAGTCTGTGCGGTGGGAGGAGAAAAATTAAACAGTCAGTCACTATAATAAAAGTCACCTGATTCTTGAATGCAAATCCTGAAACTGCAGAATTAAACCTGTCCTTACATAAAATCTTACCACAGCAGAAGAGAAGGAGATGGATTCATACCTTAACGCACAAAAGAAACTAGTACCTTTTGGGAACCAAGAGGCAGAAAGAGTGCTGTCGATTTGGTGCTAACAATGCCATATTCAAATTGAGACTGAGGCACATAACAACCCTTTCCCAGTGCTGCTATAAATCAGGAGTGAAACAGGAAACTTTGTTTGTGAGAAGAACTGAATACAGTAAGAAAGAAAGAGACAGAGAGAGAGATGGAGCATAACTCTTAATCTGGCTTTGGTCTCTTTCCATATTCATATCAGATGAATTGTCAAGCTTTCAATGCACACTTGAAGAAGCACCTTCTCAAAAGTGGGTCAAAAGCCACTTAGCTGGACTTCAGAACAAAGAATAGATGCCTCAGTGAACAAGACTGGGCAACATTTCTCTCTCTCTCTCTTGAAATGTTTTTACCAAATGCAGAAATATGCTCGATATAGCCTGATAATGTTGCTTTAGGTGCAGATAGTGAGGGTCTAAAATAGCACTAACTTGCTAGTAGCAAAACACACATAATGTGTAGCACAAAACTTTTATTTCTAAGGAGTGCACTAAACAGGCAGAAATATAACAGGAGTCCACTTATGATTTCTGGAGAACATTGTTACAACAGTACAATGACATTTTCTAATTATCTTTCTCTTGCAGCAAACGCTGCAAAATGATTTAAAGGGGTCATATGATGTGATTTCTATTTTTCCTTTTATTTAGTGTATTATGTAGCTATTTGTGCATGTATAAGATCTGCAGAGTTACAAAGCTCAAAGTCTCCCACAAAAGGATTTATTCTATCTAAAAGAGAAGGCTGATCCAGACCGGGCTAAAACGCCTCATTCAAACACGCCCCCACATCTCTACGTCACGATGTGGAAATATTTGCGTAATGCCGCCCAAATGTTCATGCAAAGAAAGAAGGCGTGGTTTCAGGAACCGCAGGGTTGATGCAGCCATGTCAGGGAGACGCTGTGTGTTTCAGTGCGAAAGCAAAAGCACTTTATTTGGCCTTCCAAAAGTAGATGCAATGAGGAATCATTGGTTAAGATTTATTTACAACAGAACAGCACAACCCAGATGTTCGAATTTGTGCAACGCATTTTATGGACGACAGTTTTGTGAACCTAGTAGAGTAGCCTCCAAGGCTGGCTGTGCACAAAGGCTATTTAAAAATGGGTCAATTCCGACTTTGCTATGACAATCTGGC